TGTCGGCTGCTTCAAAAGGAAGTGAAAAAATATACATAAACGACTGCATACAGATGTTTTCATCACAGGACATGGTATTTTTCTTTTGCATTTGCGAGTTACTGAATTTAGTTGTGTGTTTCTATCACAAGACTTCAAGTTTTTGCTGACCACTGTACGGACGTTTCAGCCGATTCAATCACTGAAAGCACTTATTTCTAGGACGTTTCAGCCGATTCAATCACTGAAAGCACTTATTTCTTCTACAAGATGTATGCTTTCACCTGTATCAATTAACAAACACATATTCCTAACAGTATTAAAAGCTTCTCACGTTTGGAACGGACGTCTCTCTCTCGTCTCCAGGGCTCACCTGGAACTTTGGCGCTTAGGCCTAGCGCTCAAGACCTACCGCTTGACAGCACACTCTGGGCATTGCATATAGTCACCGTGTTCGTATGAGTATGCTGTGAAGCATACTTTGGCGCTGCTACATAAACTGCGAATTATTTTTTTGCTGCCCAGTCACCCCGAGACATTCTCAAATGCAAGATATCGAGCGACGAGAGTGACTTTGGGGATTTAAGTGACGATGGTGACTCTAAATATGTTTTAGACACTAGAAGTCTCCCCCTTGATCCTGCCGAGCCTTCCGAGGATGACCCTTCCAAGGATGAAATGAACGGTAGCAGAGCTCACACCGCAACTCCATTGACAGACGCCATTGGAGAAGGCGGCCAACCCAAGTCCAAAATTCGTTGACATGGGGCATTGAGAAAAGTGGCCATCCTAAGTTTGAAGTCGCCAAAGAATTCGACATTCCGGCATACTGTCCACTATTTTGCAAAAAAAGCAAGGCATATTGGACGGGCTCGAGAAGTTTCTCATGTAGAAGAAAGCGCACCCGCGACCTGAAGATGAAAAATCGCCAACTGCCTCGCGCACGTGAGATTTTCGCTCGTGAGCGTGCTTGCCGAGCTGCAACGATCTCCAATTCTCACTAAAGATTGCTTTAAAACATTCTATCTCGCCAAAAATACTGTCACAAGAAAAAGTAAAGAAGGCAGAACTCTCAGTCGTCCCGGGAAGCATGTTTTTGTTTGGGAGGAAAAGAGTGGAAAACATCCTTTGGTGCAAAGAAAACCTAAAACGTACAAGCCACAAGAAAATAGAAGAAGCCTGCAAGTGGCTTCTTCGCCTACAATTATATATTGAGGAGACATAATTCAATCTTCTGGAGTGGTGGAACTTGCGCCAGCACGAGTTAAAGGACCTCATTCTTGTAGCGCAGTTTGTGCATACCATCCGAGCATCGAGTGTACCAATGGAAAGAAACTTCTCGTTAGTGGGTATTAAAGCGATGGTGAACCAAGATTTGGATTTAAAAAAAAACAATGCTGGAGATGTAGGCGGGACGCTACAAACCCCACGACACTACTAGTAAGGCGATATCTCAAATGGACGGCCATATATTTGGAAAAAGAAGTCGAGATTAAACCAGGCCGAAGAGGCGCATGACGTCAAGATACCTAGTTTCCTCCTCTCTTCGCTTTGCTCCCTCAAGGCCGCGAGGCCGTTCCTTCTCCTTCTCAAAGAAACATGACGTCAACATTCCTGCCAAATGCGCCTCTTTTTTTAAAAAATATGGTCATCCGTTCAAGATATCGCTGTATGAGTGATGTTTTGGTGTTTGTAGCATCCCGTTGCATGCTTTTGCCACGTGTTTTGGGGAATCCAGATTTTGGTTCAGCATCCCTTTAATATTGAGAGGAAAACCTGTCTGAATTTGTCTGAGTTAACAATATTCTGCTTCTTCTACACAACGACCTCAACAAGTGAAACGTTGCGTCGGTGCACATTTGCTTTTTCTCAAAATCGGTGCCGAGTTGTTTCTAAGTATATGGTTCCGAGCCTGCAGTTAAGGATTCATGTTTAACACTGTAACCGATAGGTGTTGCCATTATTGAATATTGTGATATTATCCCACTGGTGTACTCGCGCTTTACCACATCATACCTGCCAACCTGTGGACTCTCAAATTCGTAAAAGTCGCGCGGCTGCGGCGGGGGAAGGTGGGTGGGTGGGGTGGGGGTTACGCGAAGCGATGTGCAGCTTAAAGGGATACTTCAACGAAATTTGAAATATTCCCGTCGTGTTCAAAAATAGGTTGAATATGATCCACAATATCCGTAAATGACAATCGCACGTTTGTATTTTGATCCTGGTGGCTGTATTTTTCGTTATAAACGGCCCACTCTGGCAAGCGCTCGGAGAAGGCCCGGCTTAGAGCACGTGACATCCAACGCAATCGTGACGTAGGTCGTCTCAAGACGAGCAAAGCTACGGCGAGGCTGACGTCGAGAGGATGGCCTAGTCGTTCAGCCACCGAAGCGGCTGCTTTTGTATGAATTTTGAGTGACAGGTTAATCTTCTATAATCTTCTAGGGGGACAATAGCGACTTCTGCGACACACAAAAGGGATTCTCGGGAAGAGGTGAGTTCCTCCTTTCCCCCTTCTCTCGTCATGGCCGGAGACGAGAAAACCTCCGTCACTAGCTGTCAAGGTTCCTAGACGAGCAATACAAACGAGGCGTTAGCGACATTCAGCAGGTGCTCTTTGCTAATCGTTTAACTCGTTTTAAAATTCCTTTTCGAGACTTTTTTAACAAGATATTAGTATGTTCCATGTGATACTGCTCTTTTGAACACATATAGACCAAAAAATGAGCGCCGAAATTTCGTTGTAGTATCCCTTTAATGTCAGCCTGGCCAGCGTGCGAAACGCTTACATCACACGTGCACGTGCTACACAATCCAAACTTCTCTCGCTTTTGTGGCGGCACGAAGCACGGAAATTTCAATGTGTAGGACTTCAGGAACACCTGAAAGTACCTCTTTTGAGGTTTCGAGTTTGGGATTGCGCCGCGAAGCCACAGTGACCAGAAGAATGCTACAGTTACACGTGCAACAAACACAGACGCCGTACTTCTCGCCTCAAACTTGCCGAAACAACGAGGCCCAACAACGCCTGAACACGCCGAACCAATGTGCACCTGTGCACCGCCAAACACATGAACAAAGGCTTTGAGCTTTGGATTGGTTTTCGATACGTGGCCACCGGATAGACGGACAGTAAAATCCACGACGCTGCTGTGGGCGGTACCTATCGCCCTCTTGTGGCGGTGCAAGATACCACCAACAACGGAGTTACAAAAACAACAACAAAAAAAAATATATATATACATACATATATTTTTCGTAAGATTTGAAGCAAGATTCGTAAAATTAGTTCCAATTCATACATTTTACGAAAAATTCGGAAGATTTGGCAGGTATGCCACATATACACGAGTATTTTGCTGCTGCGAGTGAATGCCTTTCCTCTCCCACTTTTTTATTGCTTGGCCTAAAAATAATGAACAATGTTATTAGCTTGTCCTTTGACAATTTTCCATGTTTATAAAATATGCATCAGCTTGAAATGGTATTTACAAAGCAAAAATTAAAATAAATATAAATTTACTTCCTTTTGAGTGCATAAACTGGATAGTGTCAGTGTCACGGACTCCCAAGACTATCTAATAACTGTGATCACCTTTCGGAGCAATGTGACTCTCGAAGGATGATTGCTTATGTTATAAATATGATGAAACAGAATACATCAAAAACGACTTTCATCATATTCTTACACGAAGAGTTCTTTGTAGAAAGGTAAGCAGACGTCTTATAGGATACCATCCAGATGTTGTTTTTCTATGTTATTTATGCTTGATATTATTATGTAAAATCAATGCGCGGATTGACAGTCGGATGTGGTTCAGAATTTCGCAGATGCGGTTTGGATGCGCATACAGTCCGTGGATATGAATCTGATGCGGATACGAAGTGTGCGGATGCGGATCAGATGCAGATGATCAAACTGTTATCCGCGCAGGGCTTTACCCTGGGGTTATTATGCCTGAATCTTGGAAAGGCTCCAGCATTCCTAAGTGTAGTAAAATTTACTTTGTGAATGTTTATCCCAGATTTTCTCAAAATGAACTTTTTACACTCTTCACTCTTTCATGGAAGTCATATCTCCACTTCTACACAGTCAATCTTTGTCATTCTTTTTTTTGTTTCCTGTAAGGCATCCAATAAAGGGTATAAAATATATCCAGTATTTGGTATTTTTTTGTAATGTCTCCTATGTTCACGGCAAATGATGTCGAAACTGAAAAATTGAGTGTCATAAAACATTTTTAGATTGTCCTAGATGTTTCATTTATATCTTATTGGATTCTGTAACCTTCTAGTTTACAGGCATATGTCTTTATCCGAGTTTCAATATTGAAGCTTTTTGCAACCTTGGTCGTAATATATATATTTTTTTTAATTAAACTTTTTTAACAAAACTAATTAATCAATATTAAAACAAATTACATATTTGTAGTCAGCTTCAAAAAGCCAAGATGCTGTGCAAATTGTATGAGGATTGGACAACAAATAAGAAAGTTTGTTCTAGAAGCAACATTTCCCCCTGATGCAGTTTAAAATATGTTTTATTGTGTTTTTAATGAAATACTAATGTTTCTGAGGTTCTACTGCTACGTATATCATGGTTAAGCAAAGAAATGAGGTCTAGAATTTGGTTTCCGTACCCCTTTAAGACAAAATGACGAGACAGCAGAAACGAACCTCCGAAACGGGACTGTCTCGGCCCGAAACGGGACGTCCCAACAACTCAACCGGCAACCCTGTATCCTGTAGCCACAGTCTGGCAACTCGTGTTCGTGGCCGCATATGAAGGATGCGAGGTGGCAGCCCCAGGTCACCGCTTCGGACACTGGGCACAGGGCCACTCTCGGAAGGCCACTGCCTCGGACGCGCTCGTACCAAAACGACCCTCGCAAATCCCGGTCAACCCGGCCACACCACACGGATCGACCACCCAAAGGCTTGCCTCACCGCCCCATGAGACGGAAAGGGTCCACTCACGGAAAACTGCCGGTCCGACTAACAAAGTTCACCACTCACCGGCCTCCGTCGCAAGTAAAGACTCATTCTTTTCCCTTGTTGCAGGAGCTTGACTGGAGTGGCGCAGATCTGTACATGAAGAGTACCGTAGAAGACGAACGGCCGTTTCCCGCGTCGCCAATGCCTCGGAGGGGAGCGAACCACTGCGAAGGGATTTCATGTCACACAGTGCTCTGGGAGGCAGAAAATAGTGAAATTGCTCATTAATTTTGCACCAAGAAACAGCCAGAGCCTAGGTCAAGGTGTCGAACCAGTCATTATTCCAGTTCGGGTTTAATAGCTTTCTATTTTGCTCCGGTTCAGTCATGCACACGAAACATCAGTTCGGCTACTGGTTCCGCCAAGTGCAAACCGGTTTAGACTGATTTGGAATTCAACCTCAGACCATGGCCGCCAGTAAATTCCCGTGCTGAACAGGAAGCTTCATAACTCTTGGTTGTCGCAAAGAAAAAAAGTCTATACGGCTCTGCACTAAAATACGCTATAAATAAATGGTCATCTGAAGCACTAGTGTGAAAAATCGGACAGCAGAAGAAATATGTGGTTAATTTCTTTTCGAAATCACAACTTTTTGTCACGAATATTATTCTGTGAAAGTTTATGTGGTCGCAAAGGCACTTAAAAACAGTATCAAAGCACAGTACTAACACGCGAGGTCAATTAACCAACATGTGAAGTGCACAGTACACCATAATCACATAACAAATTAGTCGCTAGACGTTTAAACAGTGCGAGTTCAGTCAGCCAACATACTCACAAACTATCCACCTGAAATGACAGACTGTGTTTAAAACTAGAAAGGCAGCGAAAACCAGTGAAAAAAAATTCCTAAAAAAAGTTAAAAAATACCAGCATGCTGCACCTCAAAAATTGTAAAAGAAAAAATTTTAAATTGCAAACGATTGTGCAGTGTGTGAAGCAATCAACAGCAGTAGAGGCTGCCTTGTGGAAAGGCATGTTGAAGGAGATTTGCAATTACCCAGCTTGCTGTACAATGTTTGCAATGGGTCCTTTGTTTTCAGTGACATTGATGTAGGAGACACGTGTGAGGGGCAACTTCTTTTATTTAGCTTATGTTTGTTTTTTCTCTTAAAATATAGCTTAGTAGCAACAATGCCTACAAAACAAGCAAACTAAGAATACCTCTTAGACCCTTGGGTTAGTCAGCTAGGAACATAAGCATCCTCGCAGATGCCAAGTTAAGCTGCACAGACATACAATTCACAAATTTCTTTCACTATGATTGAGCTGTCTTCACGCCGCTGCCATTTACTTCGGCAACACTAACCAGCTGACGCCACAGCCATGATTGCTAAATGGACCTTGCACTGCCACACGCAAAATCAAGAGTGAAGGCCCGTTCACACTCTTGCGACCGAGTACGACTGAGAGACGAGATCTCTTAAAACTTCTTAAATGTTTTTAGAATGAGGGAACACATTGGCATTGTGGCGCCATCTATGCGGTGACCCTGGAACTAGATTTCACAAGAGCGAAGGTTTTGCGGGATTTCCGAGGTCAAATATGCGTAATACCCATAAAAAAGCGTGTTTATAACATTGACAAATGTTTTTCGAGCCAAGAAAGAAAGAATAATGCGCGAGAAATAAAAAAAAAAATATGCCGGACCGCCAAGTTTACACTGCTTCCCAATAGATGGCACCACTGTGTTCTCTGGTTTAAGAAGTTTTAAGGAACCCAGGTTTAAGAGGTCGCAAGAGTGTGAACGGGCCTTGACTCGCATTTGATTACAACCGAACTATTCTCCAGTGAATTGGTAGCTATTCATAGGATTGTGGGTTTTTTTTGCGGTTTGGGTTAAAAAGCAAATTATCAATTTCAGTTTTGCTCCAGTTCAGTCAAAAGCAAGTTTTGATCCACATTTCGGTTCGACACTCTCGATGGAATACTGGCAGAAACACTAAAAAATAAAAAGAAACAGACAAAGACTAGTACAATTCAGTAGTCCAAGCACTGTCAAAAGTGTGCTCAATATCAAAAATACCTTTGACAGCATTGGTGGCAACATAGATCTATTCTCAAATAGGCATGGGTATTGTGCACAGAACATCTTAGGGACACGATTGTTTACACGAGGGGTTCATAAAGACAACAAGGAAATAAAACCAGCACATAACCTAGTTTGCTATGTACAGTTTTGATTAAAGAATAAAGACCTGAAAATTGTGACGAGTGAAAATTCAACACACAATGCCCGTGTGCAAGATCTGACCTTGCACTTGATAATAGCTGAATTAGAAAAACAAGCGAAGCCATCTCTGCCAGGAAAGAATGTCATCATGAGAACGGCAAGTTGGGACCAACTGTATTCAACATTATTAGCTGCCACGGCACATGCATTCGGGCTGAACTCTGATCGTAAAATGCTTCAGGCCGTCATTTGAGTAGCTTAAAATAAATAGGTAATTTCCTTCTCTGGGTTTTAAGTATAGGGCATTTGCATGCACCCACAAAATCATGACACTGGATAGATAACACCTCTTTATCAGGCGGTAATTTCCACCATCCAGGTCTCACATCTTTTTTAGCGGGGACAAGAAGCGTCGTGCAAGAATCAACCTGCACGAGTGACAAACAGGGGCTGGATGTTTACTCATAAAAGTCCCCAACAAGCACCGTCGGTACGCACTTGGCAAGTCCCTTGGACGCCGGCCTGTGGCACGCCTTGGTGTCCTGCAACAAGTAGAGGAGGCAGACAATGCCAGAGGAAATTGGCAACTCTGGTCTTCCCGCAAATTTTTAATTAAATGACCACAGAGCTGATTTACCGCTGCATGCACAGAATGCTTTATTCTTTGACAGTTCCAAGAACGACGGTTCAGAAACGGATTTCCGAAATTGGGCAATTATTTTACCTAGGGGTTTTCTAGGGTCTGTGCAGTCCCCCCTTCCCCCCCCCCCCCAAATTGTTTGCCTCCAGACCTACTCTCATAGAGTAACTCATAACCATCGTCCGATTATCGCCATCAGCGAGTGTTTGATGTTTAAAACTGAACGAGTAGCAGAGTCAGTGTTCATTCTTGGACCACTTTCAGATAAAGTGATAAGTGACTCGCATGACAAATGATATACATGGCTCGCTCATCTTGTCACACTAGGGTGCTTTGCCCCCCATTACCATCATGCCGTACCGAGAGGGGAGCCTGCCAAATTTTCTCTATGGCCAGTTTCGCTCAGCCGTGCGATTCCTGCAGTCTGATCACTGCACGCCTTATTTCCTTCATTGTTTCGCTTCACAAAATGTCTAATTATATAGCTTCTAAATAGACCTTCTCCACCAGTTTAGGAGTCCTCACGGACAAAACTATGCCACCACCGAAAGAGTGGACGCCGAAGCTTCGTAATGGTCATTTCGACAGCGACCCACAAAACCCATATGAGAGAAAATGTTTGAGCTTTGCAATGGTAGGGACTCCTATGAGCGTCATGTCGGTGCAGTCACGTTAAGTGAATCGACTTTTTGCACACTTCCGTACTTCCCGTTGTGGCGCTGCTCTTAAGGTCTGTTCAGAGGGTCTATTCACACGATGCATCTTGTTGGCGAATCTTATGTCGTGAAACTAGGTTTCGGGAAACAGATGACCCGTGGGAGCGCGACCGTAAAAGTGGTAGCCTCCAATGAACACTGTGCGTGCTCTTCGCTCGTGGAGCAATATTTTGCTGAAACCTCGCCGAGGCCTGTCAATCACCTGAAGGAGAAACACGAACGCTGCCAATGGCTGCTCGACTTCGCTACGACGCCCGACCTTCGAGGCGGAGTGAGCTTTTGGAGGAGTGAGCTTTTGGAGGAGTCTGTTTTTGGACAATTCCATAACCGAGCCAAAGCCAAAAAGAAAAGCAAACACGGCGGCGAGCGACAAGCAGAGAAGTGGTGCGTACAGGTTGCGCATGGGCGATACATGTTAGCAGTGGTGGCGTGGTGCAGATTCATCAACTGTCGGAACGCCAACAGGTAAAAACGATTTGATTTGAAAGCCAAGACAGCAACTAGCGTTCCGAAAAGGGTTTGTTTGTGCATCTCGCCTGAAAACGAAGTCATCTATCAAACAATAGCATGTCGATAGCACAGCAACAGAAAAGTTGTTGAGATGAGGAGACATTCGGACTGCTCTGCCCCTTTTATAATGCTTAGCCCAGCGAATAAAGATGCTCTGATTTGAAAGCCGAAACATCAGCAAGCGTTGAGAAAAAGGTTTACTTGTGCGTCTTGCGTGAAAATGAATTGATCTATCGAACGAGAGTGTCGATAGCTCGGCAACAGAAAAGTTGTGATGAGAATACAGTCAAAATGCTGCCTGCCAAGCCCAGCGAATCAAGATACTTTGATTGGAAAGCCGAAACATACCAGTTAAGTGTCGCGGAAAAGGTTTGTTCATGCATACCACCTAAAATTGGTGCTTTCGAACGATGGTGTGCCAGTGTCGGCGTAGCTCAGAGTCCCTGGTTCCGCCTCGCACTGCGAGACGGAACCAGGAAATCTCTGACAAATTTCAGGGTTTCCTGCGTCAACGACCGGGTTCAAGAATGTTGTCTTTAATTTAAATCGGAACAGCAAGCAATAGATTGACCAAGGTAACTTTACACATATGTGCACAAAGTGAGTCGTCAAACCTTTCACGAATATTAAAACATTCGTAGAAACTTCATAACGTCACCGTCTCGTCTGCTTTAGATTTTGCCGGCTGCCGGCAAAATACTTTAACCCGTGTCATGTTTAAGCAAGGAAATGAGCTCCAAATTCGGTTTCCGTACCTTAATGCCTTTGACTTTGTTTTGAGGTGAACGAAGCGACACCAAGCAAGTAAATCTTTTAAGAAACACGCGACGTCTCGGAACTTCTCTTTCTGTTGGTGCCGAAAAAAAAAAAGAGTAGAGAACAAAGAGTGGGCTGTTGCGGAGCTCGCAAGTTACTTCTATGTAACCAGTATATCCCGGCCGGTCAAACGCTTAGCTTTCCACGCAAGGCAAACGAGGATATTTCGTAAACGTGCTTCAACTTACTCGGAACGTCGAAGCAGTAGTCGGAAGTTTGCGCAACCTTGACGACTTCACGAATGCGGAAAGCGCGGAAACACGTGTTTTAATTTGGATTGGATTGGAACACGGGCAGCGGATTTGACTAGAATGGGGCTAGCGGATCGTGCCTCCGAAATCTACTGATCTACACTGCCCACTAAAAAAAGAAAACATTCATGGTTTTATCGCAAAGCATTAAATATCCGTGCACCAAAAAACATTAAAATTTACTGCAACTACTGAGGGATAAGCAAGGGGATAAGGAATATCTGCCTGGCTACTTCTGGCTTGGCTTTCTCTTGGCCTGTGGCAAAGCGAAAATGACGCAGCTACACGGGGAGGAAAGTAGCAGACGAACGTCCGCTCTGAAGGAAAGACACGATGGCTGTGTTCGAAATCTTACTCAAATAAAACCGAGTTACTGCGGCGCACAGATTTCTATCCATCTTTCAAATCTTATCCGAGTAACCTGTCTCCTACGTCGGTGAGTAATACCACGTGACATCGCGACAAGCGACCACCGACGTTTAAACGGTTCACACTGCGGGCGAACGGCGGTCGGAAGCTCTCCGGAGCCGCCGTCGATTCGGCGTATTCCGCCACAGTTCCGGTTCGCGTTTCGCTGCTTTTTCATTTTTGTTGTCTCACAGATCTGTGTCGGCGTTGCCATGTGAAAAATAACGATCGTCATATGTTGACCTTGCAAAAATACTCCAAAAGCCGGGAGACGTCATAATTAAAATAAGTACACCGACTTGACATAACAGAAAAAACAACTTCATTAGACGTTTCGCCTCCCATGCGGGAGGCATCATCAGTAGTTACACAGCAAATGCAGGGTTCAACCTAAACTCAACGCTATTTATCACGAATGTCCGTGTAAGCTTCGTGGAGAGGGCCGCGGTTTTTGTTGCACACGGATGTGTCCCTGCGAAGAAACCACGATTCTAGAAGCTTTCGGGGCCCCCATCTGTCCTCTGTCGCCAAGGTCGTCGCGGCCGGAAAGTCGAAAGAATGCCCCATTGTCCACGCATGGTCCACCAGTTCAGTCTTCAGTCGCGTCGCGTGGGATGCGTACGTGACGTCACGCTTGTGTTCTTTGAGTCTGGTATCTCTCCTCCGTCCGGTTTCACCAATGTAGGATGCTGGGCAGTCACTGCAGGTGTATCTGTAATGCTGGGCAGGTGTATCTGATGCTGGGCAGTCACTGCAGGTGTATCACTGCAGGTGTATCCTAGATGTATCTGTAATAAGGACAGGCGAGCCGAACCACAGGATTGAAACGGGGGTGTACCGCAAACCATGTGAAACAGATAATTTTTTGGATTTTTTGTCCCATCACCCAGTGCAACACAAGAAATCAGTAGTGCGATCGTTTGTACAGAGATCAAATACCGTGTCATCTAATGAGCTCCATGGCGCAAATGAGATGACTCATTTACAGGGAGCTTTGGTGAAACGTCACTACCCGAGGCGTTTTGTTGACGAGGTCAAAAACAAAATGAAACAAAATGTGGAACCGTGCGAAAGGGAAAGAGATAAGAATGTAGTGTGCATCCCCTATGTCAAAGGAGTCTCCGAACCTCTTAGTCGCGCTTTGAGGCCCCTTGGCATCCGAACTGTTTTCAAGCCATACAGAACTATTGGAAATTCCGTTTCCAAACCAAGGGACCCAACCCCGGCGAACGTCCAAAGAGGCGTTATCTACAAGATCCCCTGCAGTGACTGCCCAGCATCCTACATTGGTGAAACCGGACGGAGGAGAGATACCAGACTCAAAGAACACAAGCGTGACGTCACGTACGCATCCCACGCGACGCGACTGAAGACTGAACTGGTGGACCATGCGTGGACAATGGGGCATTCTTTCGACTTTCCGGCCGCGACGACCTTGGCGAGAGAGGACAGATGGGGGCCCCGAAAGCTTCTAGAATCGTGGTTTCTTCGCAGGGACACATCCGTGTGCAACAAAAACCGCGGCCCTCTCCACGAAGCTTACACGGACATTCGTGATAAATAGCGTTGAGTTTAGGTTGAACCCTGCATTTGCTGTGTAACTACTGATGATGCCTCCCGCATGGGAGGCAAAAGGTCTAATGAAGTTGTTTTTTCTGTTATGTCAAGTCGGTGTACTTATTTTAATTATGTTGACCTTAGTCCTTCAGAATCATACAAAGATCCGGAGATCATACAAAATCAGTGACTACCGGAGCAGCAACACATCCATGCATATTAAAAAAACAAAAACAAAAAAAACGAGACAAGGGAAAAGGAAGGGACAAAGCAAATTGTTGTGTGGATGTTTATACATCCGAAGTTACCGCTCATTCACACTGGAAGCGGATCCGCGTTCGCAACCGCTTTGCGAACGCAGATCCGCTTCCAGTGTGGTGTCTCAGCTGTAGATGGGGGGGAGCAATTTAGCCAGAGCGGTACAACCGCTACCCTGGGGTCTTTAACGTGCACCAAGCAGTAGTGATACACGACCATGCGGTCACTGCCGGTACGATGCTCATTTCATTTCATTTATTTATTTACCTCAAGGGCGTCTTTTGAGGACGCATTACATGAGGGGGGTGGCAATAAATGGGAATACAATATAAAACATAACGTAAGAAGACTAACACAACCACATCTCGTCTAACCACAAAATAAAACAAGATATATATATATATATATATATACACAAACATACGTTCCCTACTCATTGAACAACAGCACGCACATTTCTTCAAACGCTGTAATATCTAAGTTGGTTACAAGATGATCTGGCAAGTTATTCCATTCTGTAATACATAATATTAAGGGAGAAAACATGAATGAGTTATTATGGGAGCGGTATTGAAAGAGTTTACATGTGTTGTCGTTTCGAGGAGATATATAATGGGCTTTTTGACAATAAATATTCCTGAACTGTGAATTACTATGGTAAACTTGATGGAAGAAACACATGCGTTTAATTTTGCGCCGTGTGGCTAATGAAGCGAGACCAAGTCTCGATTTTAAGGCGGAGACACTACTTTGTGGAGAGTAATCGTTTAGGATGAACCGGGTAGCTTTGTTTTGAATGGATTCTAGGTTAGATATTAGATAATTTTGATGTGGATTCCACACAACGCTTGCGTATTCAAGTTTGGGTCGAATTATTGTTTTAAAGGCGAGTAATTTTGTCGCAGCAGGGGCCAGATAGAGGTTCCGCCTCAAGAAAGCTAATGATCTCGTTGAGCTGGCGATTATGTTGTCGATATGTTCATGCCACGATAATGTTTCAGAAATATGGACACCCAAGTATTTGTATAATGAGACACTTTCTAATTGTTGTGACAGTAATGAATATTCGCGAGATGATTTGGTCGAGTTGGTGGTAACGGTCATTTGTTTGCATTTTCCGGGGTTAATATTCATCTGCCAATGGGTGCACCAGGAGCTTATGGTGTCGAGATCGTTTTGAAGAATGTAATGATCTGTTGGGTCAGTAATTTTTCTGTATACAACACAGTCATCGGCAAATAGCCGAATAGTCGAGTTGATTGAGGAAGGAAGATCATTAATATAGATAAGGAAAAGAAGGGGGCCGAGGACGCTGCCTTGGGGAACACCGGAAGTTACTGCGACTGATGCTGATGAAGAACTGTTGACTGAAACTGACTGCTCTCTCTCTGTTAGAAACGAAGCTATCCAACTGATGACTGAAGAATGGATGTGGAGAAGAGAAAGTTTAAGAAGTAGTCGTTGGTGCGGTACGGTATCGAAAGCTTTCGAAAAATCAATAAAAATAACGTCGGTTTCTGCTGAGGAATGATTATTAAAGTGAAGATCCGTGGTAAATTCAAATAGTTGGCTGATACATGAATGATGTTTTCTAAAACCATGCTGGTTGGGAAAAAAGTCGCAATGGTCCAGGTATGAAATGATGTGAGAGTAAAGTACATGTTCCATGAGCTTGCAGGGTACACTAGTCAACGAGATGGGACGGTAGTTAGATGGATTTGATTTGCTGCCCGATTTGAAGATGGGTCTAACTTGGGAGAAACGCCAATCGTATGGTACCTTACCAGAATTCAGACTTTGTTGAAAGAGTATGCTCAATATGTTGGATGCTGAGTGATCAATTAGTTTAAGAAATTTGGCCGATATCCCATCGTTCCCAGGAGCGCTATTGGAGGACAAGTTTGAGATAGTTTTAAGAATTCCTTCAGGAGTGAAAATAATTGGAGGCATCAACGCTTCATGCAAAGGTGGGCAGTATGGGGGGAGTGGAAAGATTTCGTGCGTAAAAATGCTGGCGAAGAATGAATTCAACGAATCGGCAGCCTGGTCATCACGGAGTGTTTCACCTTGGTCATTTTTGAACACTGGGCAATCTCTAGATTCTCTTGGATTTATTATCTTCCAGAATCGCTTGGGGTCTGTAGATAAGATCTGTGGCAAAGTCACCGAAAAGAAAACTTTTTTTGCTTTCTTTACTTCGCTTTTACACAATTTTGTGAAGGAGTGGTATGATGACCAAACATCAAAATTATTTATTTTTTTTGCATTTGCGAATAATCTTTTCTTTTTATTTAACATACGTTTTAAATTGTTATTAAACCAGGGAGATGTGCTATCACAACGAACTGAAGTTTTGGGAACAAATTGTTCGAGTAGTTTCATGAAAGTATTTTTAATGAGTATCCAGTTTTCGCTTGCGGATCGGTCACAATTTGACGAAACGTAATACCTTTCAAAGTTCGTTATGGCTATTGTGAGTCCTTCAATATTGGCTCGTGAAAATGCGAATATCTTTTTCGGCGTATTTTCGGAGCGCGTTACTCCTAATGATGTTTCGATTTGAATCAAAGCATGATCACTTATATGCTCCATGATAGTGACGGACGTCACACATTCGGGTTTATTAGTGAAAAACAGATCTAATATCGCATCACGACGGGTGGCCGAGGTGATAATTTGTTGGAGACCATACACACCAGTTATTGAAAGGAACTCTGTACACTGTCGAGAGTTTGCGCAGTCAGGGAGCGGCATTAGCGTTGACCAGTTTATTTCGGGATAATTAAAATCGCCACCAAGAAAGAAGTGGTCAGTAGGAAATTCCTTGGTGACAGTTCCAAGGGCATGG